AATTTTTTGGGGACCACACAAGATTGAATCTTGTCGCCCGCCCCTAAATCTAGCAATATCAATCCTATCATGAGTCGGCATTCATCACGCGTCGCGGTTGGTAACCGTACAGGACCATTGCCTTCGGGTGCAGGCAAAAGGGCGGCTTAGCCTGCACGAAGCAGCTATAGCTGCTGCTGAGCTATAGCTGCCGCTGCACCCGGGTGGTTCGTGCCGCACATGATCTTGTCTCTGGATTCGCCCGATTATCAGTGATTTTCGCCCATGTTTCTGATCCATGAAGTGCTCATACCTTGGGTGGGTTGTGCACGGCAGTGCCTTCCTCCGTTTCGCCTCAGAGATCTCTCCACGCAGCCCTAATCCCTCTCTCGTTGCAGGGAGACGCAGGACAGGTAGGCAAGATTCTACGGAAGATACCACCCCTCTGGCGGACTTTACGCTCCGAGGTCCGTCGCGGGTGCGATCCCTTTCACCTTTTCAACGCCACTATACTTTAGAGGTGTCCACGACGATTCTATAGAGGGCTGCCCTAATTTTGGATCGCAACTACAGCCGGAGCTATTGAGAAACTTCGGTTGGTCGCTATGGTGAAGGCCAGCTGCGAGGGGTTCCGTGAGTCATTGGTCGAGAACAAAAAAAAGAAAAATGGGGTGTACGGAGCCCCTTGCAACCCGGGTGCACCGTTGTGCAGCATGATACAGCACAAACTCCCGCGCCGCGGGTGTGCACAAGCGAAAGGGATCTACGTGCTCGAGAGATTCATGAGGATGGTTAAACAGAACAGTATGCTAGCGCTGCTGCTTGCTGCCGCTAGTACAATGCCGTCGGAAGCTGGCTTCATCCTTGAGGTACGCGAAGAACGTCTACCCGTTGGTGCAAGGATTAGCCTATCTACCTTGTAGCTATCCTCTGTTGCTCCGTGAAGAAGCATGTGAATGTGTTTGGGTGTCGACGCGCCTATTTTTTGAGCAAGTATGAAAATGCATGCAGGGTAGGTGATAACCCTGATTTTGGTGTCCAACAAACGTCCGCTATATAGCGCTGCTGTTGGGAGACCTGTATTGCGTCATCATGTGCATTTGGTCTGCAAATGTATTCAACGAGACCCTTGGTTGCACGCGTTGCGTGGACGGGAGGCGACAGATGCTTACTTTGGACGACACTGATCGGACAGTTGTTGACATTTTTCTCGCGTCTCATATATGGATTGTGTGGGTGGAAGAAACATGTTTCTCCTCGACGGCCGCGTCTCCTCTCCTCTTGGACGCACGTACGCTCGTTTGGGTATTGTAGCGCTGTGCCTACCCAGAAATCAAGCGGAAAGCAAGCGGTGCAAGGACAAGGCGCAGGAAAATATCTCGAAAATTGAACTTCCAAATGTTAGCTCAGAGGTCGGAAGCGTGAGGACCTCCATGTTGGTAGATATACTGCTGTCGATCATGTCCGACTGCATCCGTCCTCCCTCGTCGCTCTCTCTTTGTGCAGCGAGATCCGTGTTCTGTTTTGATGCGTTGGTGCAATGTGGTCATCGGTTGCTGCAGCCTCGCGTGTACTTCAATATTGTGTTTTGGTAGAACATCTATCCATGGGTGGTGACGCGCGGTGCAGTGGCATCACCTCGAACTAGTGACGCGCTCCGGTGGTCTCTCCTAAGTGTAGGAGTATATCCTCAAGAGAGCGGGCGAATGCACAGAGCGTGTGACAGCTTTCGTGAGATTGATCGATCCACAACCAAGAGGATGCTATCGAAACCCAATGGGCATGTTTTTGTTTTTCTCTCATCATTAGACTCTGTCGTCTGCCCCTCTGGCCCCTATCCTCCACTTCTACCAGCTAGAAGACCCAACCGGGGTCACATGGGAGGTGGGGGTTGGACCCCCTCCTGCGGTTCCTGCCTGAGATGTTCTTATCGTGAGAAATGTACAGCAATCCCTTCGCTCGCGACTTGTGAAGTCGATCAAGTTTACTAACAACGAGCTTTGCAGTGCGTCGCTTCCAACGGAGACCAGGATTTAATTAGCGAGAAAAACTTCACTCTGTCGGGACTCGAGCCCATGACCTGGCCCTTGTCAGGTCATTAGCAGGCTGCGAGGCTACCCACTAGACCACCGGGGCGATGTGTACAAGGGCAGCTCTCGGCGAGATCTTTCCCAAACCACCCTGGTGCCGACACCGTATGTACCCCCCCTGGTCATGAAGCAATCAAGCATTCAAAGTGAGAATAGGACAAGAAAACTGCGTACTGCTGTACTCGGGAATTTGCTTCGCGGAAACCACTCGTGAGGGGGCCGAACCACTCGAAAATATATTCTGGAGCCCGGACAACATGGTCAGGGCCCATGCACAGCACGAACATCTTGAACGAACTTTTGGGCCCGTCTTTGCCCACACACACAAGGTCTCAACAAAGGTTGCCCAATTTTTTCCGAATTTCCGATGGGCATACATACCAACCGGCATCTGAAAGATTTTTTTCATGTACAGAGTAGCCGACAGAGTATGCTCCTTGTTGTCCATTCTTGTCTTGTTCGAGCCTGTGTGGAAATCAATCTCCTCGTCACCTCACGGCTCAACTTTTTCGATTGAAAGAAGTGGACAAAAGCGGGTACACGTGAAAAAAAAAACGAGTATCAGGCACACAGGTAGTGCCAGGGAAGTACCCACCAGAGTCTCGGACAAATTATCGGGCAACCTTGTGAGTCCTTTGAGCGCCGCGGCCGTGTGTGGGCTGAAGTCGTGCCCGAAAGTTCGCTAAACGGGTAAATAGATGTTCGTGCTGTGCATGGGTCCTGGCCATGTGTGGGTCCAGGCATCAGAATATATATGATTTTGAGAGGTTGGGCCCTCTCACGAGTGGTCTCCGCGAAGCAATTTTTCAAGTTTTCGAGATTTACCCGCCGTTGTCCGAGAGAGGGGTGTTCGTTTCCCTTTCAGAGCGGATCGCATACCTGTCAGTTCGCCCGCATTTTTACAGCTGTACCTTGATTACCACGCGTTCTTCGTCGGGGAGGGAGGGGCTTTTGATGTGGTTGTTGTCAGGATTTCGCCAAGCCCAGCCAACTCCCTGTGCTAAAGCGGACGAGACGGCAAATCGCTACGGTGTGCTACTAGGGGGATTGCTTGCATCTTACAGCACGTAGACTCTCTACCTTACAACTGTTGTATGTTGCTCGCGATTCAGAACTCTCGAAAACATCTAACGTTAAGTACAGACAGAAATTTTCGTTGCGCGTTTTATGTTACTCTCTTGGTGGTGTGGGGGAAGTCATACAATAGCAATGCCGGCCGGCCTGCTCATAAAGTTCGAAGAGGCCCGTGTATGGCGGTGTCACATTTTCCTTCCTTGAACCGGCTAGTGCTGTCTTCGTCTTCGTCCTCCGTCATTGGTTCGCGACGAACAGACATTAACGACTAAACACTGCTGTTGTTCTTGGCTCTCCGTCGACCACACAACAAAACAGGACCAATCCCCAGGCAACCACGGTAACGCCGGTATGGACCCGGGGAGCTTCCGTTGCAAGCTCGACCCTAAGCTCACGGAGAAGGACCTGCCCTTCTTCATCCCGGACATCCAGGGCACCTGGGGTTCGGCCTGCGGGCGGAACCGCGGCGTTTTCGTCGTCGAGCCTCCCGATGGCCACACCTACGGTGAGACAAAGGGAGACTAAGTAGCTTGCGGCCGGAATAAAATTGTGGGAGTTTCGGCTGGCCCTCTCCCGGCAGCTGTCCGTGTGTGCACTGTTTTGTTAGCGTCGACATCGCTTACCGGCTGACCAATGAAAAATTGTCAGTCTCATTGCCGTTGAGGTCGTGTGTGTGTGATGGGTCAAGTTTCGCGGTGTCTGTTGTATGGCAGGACCAATAAGAAAAATGTGTTCGATTTTCTCGGTCTACAGTGGTAGGATTCACCCGAGGCCACACCTATGATCGAGAGACGGTTCTCCTGCGGGAAGCCGTCCGTGGGTCGTCGCACACCCGCATGAGGTTCGTGCCCCAGACAACACCCCCCCNCAACCCCCCCCCCCCGCCCCCCCCCCCGGGGGGGTTTCGTGTTCATGAGCTCAGCGGGGTGTTGTCGACGAGTAACTACGCACACATAGCTCCCCGCGCGTTCGCCAGCCGTGGGACCCCCGTGCAATACCCCCGACGACTGGCGCCACAAGAGCAGCAAAGCCACGCAAAAAAACGATGGTCCGTTTTTGATGCGCGTGGAATCATTTGCGCAGATTGCGGCAACATGCCTGCCGATTGGGGGGTGTCTAACGCCGCCGACATCGCTAACCTGACCAAGACCAAGCCGGCCGTCGCCCTGAAGGCCTACGGTAACTTCGTCGATGCTGTCTACAACACCACCATCGGGTACGTATTTGGAAGTACGCAAACACCCTGGATAGAGTATGAAGCAGGCTAAGTTAGAGTTAGGGTTAGGTTACGGTCTGCGTGCCCCCTGTCTTGTCTTTTTTAGTAGTATCCTTGCGTTCTTTGCGTAGGCAGTCTGACGTTTTATCTGGTACGCGGTAGGAGGCCGCTGTTGGGGGGGATGGTCTAGTGAAAAACCGAGGCACAGCAGTGGTCACGCGTCCTTCTTGCGCACGTGCCTCGACTTTTGGTCGGCAGAATCGTAAAATGTTGGCGGTAACTATTGCTATAGAGGTTCGCCGTGGAAAAAGTAATTGTTTGGCTTGAGATTCCTTGTCGTAGGACAAGAGTATGTTGCCACGGTGGCCGAGGCATTCATCTGCCAACAACCCCCCCTTGAACCTGGAAGTAGCGATGGAGAGGGTGTACCACCTACTGCACACGTTTCCACACGTGTCAGGCCTTTTCTTACAGCGATGGTCCCGTCGCGCACCCTCATGCAGGATCGAGAACCAAGACCGATTGCTGCTATGAAGCACAGCCTCCCCCACCTTTACAGCATCCCCGACCTTCTTCTCTTGTGCCCTCTAGAACCGAACCGATGTTGCCATGACTTACAGCCTCCCCCACCCTCTTGTTCTCTTGTGCCCTCTTCTTCTCTTTGGTGGGTGACGTGCTATGGTTATCGCCACAGGAAAACCGCGGAGGCCTGCGACTTCGACGGGCTGACGGTCCTCACGTGCGGAAGGGAAGAGCCGTGGTGAGTCACTCCGTTTTTTGGTTGTCTTGAAGTGAGTTAGTCCGTAAGTAGGTCATAAGATAGTCCGTGTTTTTATTTCTTAAATGCCGTGATCGACATACTAAGAAAGTAAGGCCGAAGAGGAGGACACCATAGCGGAATCTTTGCCCGGACTGTTTTTCTAGGTTTGGCTAAAATTCGGTGCCATATTCGCCGCTTGCATGTAGCACCGGCTCGTTGGACGATAAACTTGTCAAGTAACGGTGATGAACGATTTTTTTGGGCGCTTTGAGTTCTCCATGAATTTTCGTGCTACGATGAACATGAACTCCCTCGGGGGGTTGTTATATAGCCTGTGACCACGAAAGGCGTCCACGTTAGTTGGACCAATCTGCAGTCCGACGATTGTTTGAAGGTTCTGAGCAGAGGTCGGGCATATAACTTGTGACCACGAAAGGCGTCCACGTAAGTTGGAGCAATCTGCAATCTGACGACTGTTTGAACGTTCCGAGCAGAGATCGGGCCGTTGTTATATGTGAATACCACAACAACAACAACAACAACCACAACAACCAAAAGTGGCAGCCTACGTTTCCCTGGTTCCATGGCCGGCCAGTCGATGATCTACAACTATGGCATGCATGAATATNCCCCCCCCCCCCCCCCGGAATAAAACACGACGACCCCAACCGTCCCAGGAGAACCGCCCCATGGTACGACCAGCTCAAGGCGCCCATCCGGGCAGTTAACATCGGCGGTCTGTTCGTGCTGGAGCGTTGGATTGTGCCCACCTTTACCTCTTGGGGGGATGAGAGCGGCATCCGCGACCAGCACTCTTTCAGCGAGAAGTGTGGAGAGCT